TATTCTAGCTCCATATCTATTTTTTCCTTTTAGAAAAAGGAACGAGAAAGATGAAGATCCCAACTCCCAAGCATGGCAAGGGTGGTTGTTAATTCAATGAAATCAAAATAAAAAATGACAACATTCCTTTGGAGATAGTTGCCAGATATGTATGAATTTGAGCCATTCAAAATACTATATAACAATTTTCTATTGGAAAAATTGGTAAAAATGAGAAAAATAAACTGATATTATTGCTTTTACAATAATGTTATGGATTGATCAAGCTATTATCTCATCTGTCTTACACTCTCTATACTTGACATCAGCTTTATTGGATCCAGCCTCATGAATAATGTCACAACATTCACATCTATCAATCTGGAAAAAAAATATATAAATAAGAGAATAAATAATTAAATAAAAGAATAGCGGTTAGAATAGAGATTTGTTTGTAACTAGTGGTTTAATTTTGATGTCTATAAATTTACTAATATTCTAATATTTATTTATGAATGACGTCGACGTCCATCGATGAAATCCACGCAAAAATTTTGTCCATTTTTGTTCAAGAATAAGTTAATTCGCCGTCTGCCTAAAAGCAACTTCTTATTAGTATTTCTTTTATCAAATAGAAAGAAATGTGCAGATCATTGCTTTCTATTTCTTGGTTTAGATGACAATAGCTATGTAACTTTGCTGATTTTAGTTTTTCTCTTTATTTATCTTACCTAAAATTTTCAAGTCATAGCAAAATGAGCAGATCTTATTATCAAATTCACATTAATTTGGATTATTTGCACCATATGGCCATTTTTGATGCCTCTTTAAATCTTGTCCCTCGTTAGTCCAGTGGGCTAAGTTTCAGCTTTAAAATAGAGAAATTTTCAGAAATCACTATAATTAAGTGGCTATTAACTTGCTATAGCTACAATATCTATATTTATTGGCCGAAGCTACAATTTCGTTGCTACCCGGTTGTATATGATGTATTCGCGTGATTGTTTTATAAATACAATAAGGTAATTCGCCTAATAAATAGGGATTACAACATATGATTTATTTTGTTTTTGAAAGACAATTTTAGCAGACTGGACTAACATGACACAAATTTATGCAGTGGCCTCAAAAAATGGTCATTTGTGCAAATGGCCATATTGACTTCCATGAACAATTCCTCATCAGTTCAGTCGGCTAAATTTTGGCTTTAAAAATACTATTGAGAATTTATGAGGAAAAAAAATGTAGAAGGAGATATGGAAAGTGAAAGACTTACCTCAATGCGTTTAATTGCAGGTGAATAAACATGAATTTCCGAAACATACTCTGCAGATAAATTTCCAGCATACAAACAAGCTCCAATCCCTCTAGGCCATGCTCTAATATATGTTGTAAGAATTTCATTTCTTGGAGTTTTCTCAACAGATTTGAAGAAAAATATATGAGGAGCTTCACAAGGATCCAAAGAAGGATTTCTAACATCAAACATATAATGTGGTGGATTAGGACTTTTTTGCCATGTTTTAAATGTTTCAATAGGTCTTTGTATCCAACTTCTAGGCATAATTTTTTCATAAATATGAGCTGAGTAACCCCAAGAAACTGAAAATGTCCAATTACTTGATCTTTTGTGGCAAATGGTTTGTTGTAACATTCTTGATTGATCATAATTTGCAGCATTTTGGAGGTGGAAAATTGATTGGGAACGATCCATTGAGGGAAAAATTGGATCAACCATGTCTAAATGATGAAGGGACATTAATAAAGATTTTGGATGAGATGATAGAAATCCTGATATATCACCACGTAGATCAATCTGCAAGTTATAAATTTCCAGTATATATATATATATATTAGTAGTAATAAAGAAGAAAGAAGACAAATACATGTGTATATGCAGATAATTAATTTTCTAAAATATAATGTGTAAATATAATAGGCTGACAATGTTTGAAAAATAACGTAGAGTAAACATTAATTTGGGATTGGAAGTAAAGCTAATGAATCCCATTAAACATAGATCCACATTGATGTACAATATGAACTGTGACCAGGGGCAGAGCTAGAACACATGTTACTAGTTCGGCCAAAGCTAGTAGCTTTAATCCAAATCCTATATTTGTTTTAAGAGATCTATTGGATATGTATAAATTTTAAATTTAAAACTCGGTAACTTAACCGGACTAGAATCTCGTAACTCATAAACTTCAAATCTCGACTCGTCCTCTAACAATGACAATATGTCAACAATGCTTGTAAAAAAATCTTGCTTACGCCACTGTTAAAAGTCTTTATATTACGATAAGGATATAGTCGTGATGTTCCTTTATGGCCGGCGTGTTTAATATGGAGGTGAATGTGAGGATTTTCAAGAATATAAGACACAATTTTCTTTTTCTATCTATTGATAAGACAACTATTTTTATTGTTTAATTTTTGTTCGAAGTTTAAGAGAAGTGAGAGAAACCTCTGAGTAAATTTCTTTGTTTTTTTGGAAGAAATTAACATACCTGATGAATACCTTGAAGAGGAGAAAGATTGACTCCAATATCAGCAATGCAAGTCATAGTAGTTTTATCAGCAGCATTCAAATAATTATACCTCTTAAGACAATTAACCATATCTTTTGCTAATGCTTTAGCCAAAGGATAACTCAATATAAATCCAGCACCACCAAAACCTTGATTAAATGAGTACCAATAATTCGATAATATAAACTCCGAGTGTCCACCAAAATAATAATACTTCGTATGATCATATTGTGCAAGAATATCAACCATATTATCCACGAAAAATACAGAATCGTCGTCCCCCATAACTAACCATCTTAAATCTTCATGTTCTTCTCTAAACACCTCCATAATCCCATGAACTAATCTTAAAACTGTTGGATCAACATGTTTTGTTTCCTCAACAAGTTTTACAACATTATCAGATATTTTATAAGGAGGTGAATTTATTGACCAAGGTAAAAGATCATCTTTAGGAGGAAAATCTAGTAAAAGATATCCTTTTGTAATATTTGGTCTCCACCAAGATTCAATATAGGATTTTCTATTATGCCATGCTTTTTCTGACCCCAAAAGTCCAAAAACAAGGTGGCTAATATTTGTGGCAATGTTGGTTTGTGCAACATTTGATTGAGAATTAAATGGTGCCCATTTTGATCTAAAGGAAGAGAAAAGTTCAGAAGATGGACAATTAGAGTCACTAAAAAAGATAATAAAGGTTATGTAAAGGACTAAACCGCAAATAAGAACTGTTTTGGAAATACTAATCACTTTAGATTTGTCAAATGTAGACATGTTTGAGAGACTATGTAGAGAGAAGAAGAGAGTGGGAAAATGGTGAACTAATGCTCATTTGGTTCTTGGTATGAGTTATGTGCAAGGAGTATTTATGTGAAAGTTTTAAATAAATAAGATTTATGTTATATTCACTGGCTGTGTAAATTATTTTTATACAACCAGTACAACTTAACCTATTGTAGAAGGTTATTACCGTTATTTTTCCAATTACTAATTTTACTTACTATTAAAAGTTATCTTTAATTATTTTTAAGTGAATTGACAGCGTAATTTACAGTATTAGTGTATAAAAGTTAAACATAAAAAAAAAAAAAAAA